TTGTCATCAGCCGTTGACTTGAAGTAGGTATTTACACAGCACGTCAAAAGCCAAGCCAACCATACCAAGATGAGATTGAGATCTATCATTGTAACGTGGCTATCCACTACAGCAACCGCATGGCCAACAAACGAACATGAAAATGCGCCATTGGCTATCAACACCAGCTCTGGTGTCTTTGCACCATACATCGACCAGTCACAGACAAATGTCGCAGCATTCCTCGACATTCCATTCGCAGAGAAGCCTGTTGGCAATCTTAGATTTGCACCACCTGTCCCTAAGCAGTACCCGGGAGATAAGGTTGTACGCGCAACTAGGCTTCCCCTTGGGTGTATCCAATATGTACCTCCACTACTTCGAGGTTCTATTGTTGATGGACCTGTGACAGCTGCCAACTTCCAGCGAGGGGATTACAAGAACACAACTGAAGATTGTCTTAGACTATCTTTGTTTGCTCCCAAGAAGGTGGTCTCCGAGACGAAGAGTGCAAAGCATAGACCGTTACCCGTCATCATATGGGTTCACGGCGGCGGCTATTCAATTGGAGGCACAAACGTTCCCTACCAGCTTGCACCAAACTGGGTTCAGAGGAGCCAGAAACATATCGTTGTGCAAGTCCAATATCGTCTCAATCTCCTAGGGCTACCGAATGCTGCAGGATTGGTTGCCAGCGGCACGAACCTCAATCTTGCTCTGCTTGATCAACGCCTTGCCGTTGAATGGGTACGCGACAATATTGCTCGCTTCGGAGGCGATCCCAATCGTATTACGCTCTGGGGTGAGAGTGCAGGTGCTTATGCGGTGGATGGCTACCTTTTTGCATGGCCTCGCGATCCTATTGCCAAAGGCGTGATAGCCGACTCTGGTAATGCGCTGTCAATCGAAGTAGGATTAGTCGATGCGAGGAATCATACCACTTTCTCACTTGCCGCGAGTCGTTTGGATTGTGGTGGACTTTCCCCCGGCGAGGAGCTTCGGTGCATGAGGAAAGTCCCTGAGCACAAACTCAAGAAATACCTCCAGGCAGATATTGGCCAAGGAGGTGCGGCTGATGACGGCATTTCATTCTCACTTATCCCCGATAATGTCACTGCATTTACAAACTATTCCAGAAGAATTGGAAGAGATCCATCATTGTACCCAGTGAGCATACCTATCTTGATTGGAACCAACACGGACGAGGGAAATGCTGTCATCTCGTACAAGTTTCCCGGATATGAAACCGCAACAGAAATACCGAGCAATCTCAAGCCCATCGCAGATGGATTTGCTCTAAACTTGCAATGCACCACACTCAAGGAAATTCGCTTAAGGTCTGAAGCTGGTGCTACGACCTATCAATATCTCTACGCCGGCAACTTCACCAACATCTCGCCTCTGCCCTGGCTAGGCGCATACCATACTGCAGAGCTACCTCCGATATTTGGCACATACGGAATCGATGGACCCTCTACCAGGTTCGAAAAAAGTGTGAGCGAAAGGATGCAGGATCTTTATGTTAGGTTTGCCAGTGATCCTGTGCATGGACTGCAGGATGCTGGGTGGCCAGCAGCTCAAGCGAAGCTGGACAGATCTAAACTTGTGCAGTGGGCTGCAAATGGAAAGGTCGAGCAGATTGCTAGCGCAAGACAGATGGTGGAAGAATGCGTCAAGAACGGATTCGAGGTGTAGAGGCTCGATCAAATGGCTTTGTGAATCGCGAAAGATCAGCACCCTTGCGGCCCAATCAGTAAAGAAGCGGTGTTCTTGAGTTTGGACCGATGGCGGACGGTTTGCTAGCGCTTTTACCAATATGCAATTATTATCCGATGATCTACAGCAGGTTATTTAACTGATATGTGTGGTAGCTCGCATCATGGACGTTATAGGAAGGTGTATAAATACATAGTCTATACCGATCTTTCCAATTCTTATCATTGGCAATGATATTCATCTTGAACTATAATATGAAGTATGATATACTAACGCTATGATCAAGATGTTCCACCAATAAGTGGATGCCAAGCCGTGACATTCCTTGTTTCATCCAATTGTCCTGTCATTATAGCGCTCAGAGGTCAAAGCAATCACACCTGCCTTTTTATGAGTTGAAAGGACGGATCTCTCTTGCTATCTTGCTGTTTCCATCTCTCTGCGGCCCTGCACGGCGGTATAGGTAGCCATTCTGCTATCGTAATGATCCTTCTCAGACTTTCCTATCCTCGACCAATTTTGCCAGGGGCAAAGGCGATTCGGACATAAACAATTCCAGTCTTGCTCTACTGTAGCCATGATTTAAGCTTCTTTTCTAGAAACATGCAACGGTGGGCTGGTATTCGAGCGGCTCAAGACCCTGGCAAGGGTAGTTGGAACAATGGTTGGGGCCTGAGCGTGAAGGTAATAAAGCAGCCAATCAGACGTGGAAACTTCGTTTCCAAGGGTGCATTCGGAGGGAAATGCTCCGCGATGCTTGACAAACGTGATCATTTAGATGAAACCTCGAAATGATAAGGGTCGTGACGATCAGCGGAGGTAATGCGGTTTCTGGAACCTGTATACTGGCAACATATAAGAATGGTTGAGCCCAAATAGCCTTTGAAGTCCAGGAGGTCAAGCTCATCAAATCTTCTATACTCTGTGGCCCTACCCAAAACCGCTATATCCAAGCTTCAATTATAGTCATCATGCGTTTCTCTAGAATCCTCACTGCCTTTGTGGCCTGTGCTTCCACCGCCTCAGCGGCAATCACCTGGTCTCTAGAAAAAGCCTCCAACCCGACCGCAGACCAAGCTGACGCCTACGGCCGAATCGAACAAGCCATGCGTCTGGCCGTGGCGCGCTACAGCCGCTTTTCAGGTGCCAGCAAGAACATCAGGGTCACCTACGTCCCCAGCGTCCCAACCGCCGACGCGAACTTCAACGGCAGTCTTCGCTTCGGGTCCAACAGGTCTTACATGAACGAGCGCACGGCCATGCACGAGATCTCCCACACGCTTGGCATTGGCCAGACGGCTGCTTTCGACAGGAAGTGTGCGGCTAACGATTGGGCTTCTGCTACACGTCTTCTTCGGTCTTGGGACGGTGCTAGTGCTCGTATCAACTGTGGTGGTGGACACATCTGGCCGTATGGTCTTAACTATGACAATGAGTGGAGCGAGACCAATGCCAACCGACATGTTCAGCTTATTAATGCTATGTTGGCTGACGGATTACAAGGATAGGGATTTATAAGTTATGAGTTTTATTCAGTAAATATTATGGATGAATTGGATATACCTGCGATTGACCTGTCACATGTGATTATGGTGGCCTGGTAAACGACCACTACCTCAACATGCGAGACTCGTTGCATGTCAGCTGTATCGCATTCCAGGCTGCTCATCCCGTTACATATAGTTTGGTTCTAAATGTGCAGAAAGTGTATCAGGCTACCTACCAGCGACAGTGTTCACATGCGTCAGCATAGTAAGCTCCAGGTAACAATTATGATGCCTAAATTAAAAATGATGCTATAAAGCCTCAACCCTATGCAAGATAAGAGATTGACGAAGGAGAAGCCCGCGTCTTCCTTTTCAACTACCAATAGATGCGGCCACAGTACTACTGAAGCAATAACAACTATCGACAGCAAATTCGCTCAAGAACCACCTCACAGATCAACAAGCTCATCATTATTCGGATAGTTCGAAATTCGGTGTCATGTTGACAGACATGGCCAATAAAAAATCTATGACCCGATTGCTCTCCTTGGGCACAGTACGGCATATACTAGATGGGTCTTCGCAGGATCATGGTCTCAATGACTACCAGAAGATTGGCTTCGGACAGTGCGGCCTCATTTTCCACAAGAATGGAGTTGAAACTGTCATCAAAGTGGCCAAACCATTCTTCCAAGGCTCCCTTTATGCAGATTCCCTTGCACATAGGGCAGTCCAGGCCGCATTTGACGAACAGCCTGAGGCACCTAAATGCCGCCTGCCAAAGTTTCATAGCCACCATGACAAAACAAGTGCTTGGTGGAAGGATAACGAACCGTTGTTAGCAGAGCAGCACCCCACTTTTCCTCTGCCGTCATCAGTCCTCATATCGGAGTACATCCCACCTTTACCTCAGATAGTCCGAGAAGCACTCACCAAGCAGTACTGCCCAAAGATCAAATATGAGGAAGCACTGAGGGATCCTCTCAACCATCACTGTTTGGCCAGGGTATATCTCGGCCGGCGGCGGGCTCCCAATCAACCATTGCAGACCAATTTTTCACTCCGAAACTTCAATCTTCATCTTGATCAAATGATCGAGATGCAGTTGCCGGTAGTAAAGTATGCTGAGGCTATTGGAGAGGCGTTGGCTATCCTACATTGGGGCGCTTGTATAGACGCTTACGATATCGAATTCGTGCTGGGCAGTGAGGTCTTGGGTAAGACGGAAGCAACCACACGGATATGGGTTCTTGACTTCAATCTCTGTTCTCGATTTGATGAAGAAGTTGCCATAGAGTATCCTACTCGAGTCGTTGGTCAGCTGGTGGACTCATTCTTTGAGAACGATCCATACTATCCACGTCCTGGTTCGAATGGAGAGATGGAAAGACAACTCTGGGACACTTTCAAGACTGCATACGTTTTGAAAGCTGAGAAAGTGCTATCCATGAGTAATTCTCATGCTACTTTATTACACCTTCCTCGGAAATTCATTGAGGCTTGCGTCGACCGCGGTGCCAAGAGTCTTTCGACTTGTCATGAAAAATAGATAGTGCAATCCTATTTCTGGTCGTTGGACTGAGCTTCTATTAGATTAGAGAGATCGTAGTACCTACCTTGAATAAGTTTCCTCATGATAATTCCATAAGGAATATTCCTAGTCTGCATTGGCACCTAGCATTACGTGGTACGGGTCTCGTAGCGACATTCTCGTGCACCACTCCACCCAGGGCTAATCTCCACTGAGGAGCCGTGACTCACGCACATAACTGAAAGCCTATACAGATACAAATTGTTGTGCGGGTTCCTATCCAAGAAAGCAACTTGGCGCAGTGGAAGCGCGGTAAGTTTAATCATAATCACCCGCACACCAGATCGTTTACTAACGCTCACACAGCCGGGCTCATAACCCGGAGGTCGCTCGATCGAAACGAGTAGTTGCTAGGATATCTTTTTTTACGTTCTTTTTGTTGTTGTTGTTGTCTCACATCACAATCTTCCTTGTTTATATTCGCTTCTTCTTCTCGTCCTAGACTCTTCTGCCTATCAGCCGCTTTCTCTTGAACGCTGAAAAGCGGATTCAAGAATGTCTCGATACTTTTATCGGCCAGCATTGGACTTCCTCCATCTTATTTTGTATTCACTCGATGGTCCCTGTTCCATTTTTGATTTAACCTGCTCGTTCTGCAGTATGTTAATTTCCATGTTCAAGAGTTTTTTGTGGCCAAGACGATGGAAGGTATCCTCCAGCATTACAGGTGTTGACTTATCCCACTGACAGTAGTCCGTAACATCAAGTGTACTGGGTTTACAGTGAGCCATGTTACTGCACCACATCAGATTCTTTCTACCTCATTCACCACCGCCTACATGACTAGATTACTAAGACTCTTCTTCTAGCAAGTATAAATTCACATCAAATGGTCGTTTTGCCTTAGTCAGTGCCATGTTCAATGTTCCAATACCCCTTACAGGCTAGCCCTTAGCGTTGGGGAAACAGAACAAACACTACCAAAACTTCTCCACCCTCAATGCACCACCAGCACTTAACTTGTCTGCCGCATTATCCGGTCTTCCTGGCACTGAAACCCCAAACACCGAGTTTATTTATCACTGTCGCGGTGCTCAGGCCCTTCGGTGCCCCCCAAACTATGAACTTCGGCATCGGCCGCCGTCGCCGCGATCAGCAACCCCGCGAAAAGACGATGCAGATCAATGTTCAATTTGGGTTGGCTATGTGGGATGCTGATCCATGCGGGGATAACGTCTCCGAATGGATACAGTGAGATGAACTCTCCGCCTCGCTTAATTCTCTGTCTTGTTGGGCCCCTCCCTCCTCCTTTACAAGAACTCTTTTTTCCCCAACTTTTGCCAAGGAGGTTGTTATTTGAAACCATAGCACTTTCTTCTTCTTCTGCTTCGTGAATATGGCTGCACGGAGTGATTTTGGTAATAATCCTGAGATGGATGGGGATTTCCACGCCGACGAGAAAGTCCTCCCCAAGGATGGTGTTGATACTCGGCTGGAGAGTACCGCGGTTGTCGATCCAGCCCTCGAGAAGGCTCTGGTGCGCAAGCAAGATCGCCGTATCATTCCTTTGGCTGCGGGCATATATTTGCTCTGCTATCTAGATCGCTCCAACATCGGCAACGCCAAGGTCCTTAACCACACAACAGGCCATGATCTCCTCACCGAGACCAGCATGACCAACTACGACTTCACCATCGCTCTCATGGTCTTCCTTATCGCCTATGCGCTTTTTGAGGTTCCGTCTAATTACTTCCTCAAGAAGATGAAGCCGAGCAGATGGATTGCTTTCCTCATGTTCTCATGGGGCACAATCACTATCTGTCTTGGTGCTGCGCACAGTTACGCCGTGGTGACAGTTCTGCGGTTTCTCCTTGGAGTTTTCGAAGCTGGTAAGTAAGCTCTTAAAGTCTAGATCGATATCGTTCAATTCTGACGCGTCTAAGGCTTGTTTCCTGGTCTTGTGTACTACCTCACATTTTGGTACAAACCCGAAGAACGCTCAGTCCGCGTGGCGACTATCCTTGCCTCGGCTACCTTGGCTGGAGCTTTCGGAGGTGCCATAGCCTACGGCGTTGGACACATGAACCAGGTGCACGGACTTTCCGGCTGGCGATGGCTGTTCATCCTCGAGGGTATCCCTTCTGTTCTTTCGTCGATTCTGGTCTGGTTCGGACTGCCGGACTTTCCCGAGTCTGCTAGCTGGCTCTCCGCTGAAGAAAAGGACGTCGCGGCTTATCGACTAGCCGAGCAAGGCTCGCATGGTGACAGCAAGGCCATGACCTGGGAGGACATCAAGGCAACACTGTTCGAATGGAGATTATGGTGCCATTACCTGGTAAGCACTGTCACCTGATGGTATATGGGCTTGTTTTCGCTAATCGCGACTAGATCTACTTTGGCATCTCGGCACCCTTTTCGAGTTTGTCTCTCTTCACACCTTCAATCACCGCTGGCTTAGGAGTATGTGAATCCCCTACCGTTTTTGAGATGATACTGACTATCATAGTTTGCGGATCTCAGAGCTCAGCTGATGACTGTGCCGCCCTACGCAGCTGCGTACGTCGTCACATTACTTGTTTCGTGGTCAGCGGACAGATACAATGCGTGTGTATCCAAACACTCTATTTTTACGGTTCTCTACTGACATTATATCAGTCGTGCGCTCCATTCTGCTGCGTTTTCCTTGATTGGCGCCATCGGTTTCATTGCCTCCGCAACTCTTCCCGCCGATTCATATAGCGTAAGTTTTCCACGATCCCACGTAGGCAGGCCGTCACTAATCCCTCACAGCCTCGTTACGGATGCCTCATCATTGCATGCTGTGGTTCATTCGCCTGCATTCCTCCCCTTCTAGGCTGGCTATCATCCAACTTGCACTCCACTGCTGCCATTGGTCTGGCCATTGCACTCAACATTTCCATGGGAGCTCCTGGTCAGATTGTTGGTGTCTGGATCTACAAGGCCGAAGAAGCCGCCAAGGGCTATCCAACCGGCCACTGGACCAATGCCGGTTTGCTGCTATTCGTTAGTGTTGGCTGCATCGGCATGCACGGCTACTACGTCTGGAGGAACCGACGTGCTGCTGGTACTGACCAGCCTCGTTTCAAGTACTAGACGGAGGAAGATGCACTAGCTCTTGTCAAGAACGATGGTATGTCTACACGAAGGCGGTGGCATTTGACGATTCTCAAGCTTAATGACTTTCTGATCGGACATGAAACTATGGACTGCCTAAGCAGTCCATATGCTCCTACAAACTACACATAAATAGTAATTTTAATAGCACAAAATTGACAAGTACTCCTTCACTTCCTCGTTGTATACTCCAAAAGTGATCATGAATCATTTTCGCGGTCTCCTTCTAACAAGCCATCACAACCAATTCCCAATTGGTATTCGGCAGCAATTAACAATTATATACAAGAAAATTCTTTAGCACTGGGCTGACCAACTGCCATCACCATAAGCCTGGGTTTACCGTTCCATAGTTCGCACATCTGTTTGGGAATCCTTTTGGGGACTCCTGGAAGAAATGGAAGATGCCGACGAATGCTTTTGTCCATGGTTAGGGAATGCAGGCGCTGCTAGATACGACGATGACGAGGCAGGGCGAGAATGTCCTCTTGGGTCGCCTCGGGCCGCAGCACCCAAGGCATCGAGCTGATTCATGGTGTCAAGTTGTGTTGATGACCTGGACTTCATCAATGAAGCTCTGTCGTCAGCCATGAACTTGTATCGAGCATCTGGGTTCTTTCGCCAGAAAACAAGAACACTCGACACGATAATCATGAGAAGAAGGATGAGAGAAAAGGCGGCATTGGCCACGAAAAGAACAAGACCAGTGATCGAAGGTCCCATTTTGGGCATATCCAAGACGTTGGTAAAGATAAAGAGCATGATGGCGTTAAGGAAATTGAAAACAAAAATGGCAATGTTGAAAGAGTTGACACTCTTGTCCATAAAGGGGCGCATGACGCTTGTCCCGATAAGAGCAGCCACTTCGATGATCATGAGGGCAACCGCTTGGGTCACTCCACTCTTCTGGCCAAGAGCAACGAACATGCCCTTAAGAAGAGTGTAGACAAGTTGAGGTACAATGAAGTAGTAGGCTGTAGCCCGGTACTGGATATACAAGAAACCCCATTTGTTCAAGATTTGCGAGTTGGAGTACAGTCCAATAAGCGGACTGAAACTCGCCAGTCTGATGATCCTCAAAGCCGCCAAGAAAAGAGTGAGAAGAACGGCAAGGAAGAAGAAGACGGCAAGAACCATGAGCGCCGGTGAGTCAGACTGAGTGAATTCCCAGAGGCAAAGGATGGTGACGGGAGCAAAGCCCATGAGGGTCAGTCGTAGGAGTGTTCCTTTGAGGATTGAACGCCACTCTGTGCGGAATTCGAGGAAGCGATCGGGCTTGATCCAGCCTTGCTTTGCACAGAGGTCTAAGACGAGCTTGAAAAGAAGCACCACGATGCAAGCGAGCACAGTGAAGATGCAGAAAAATACGATGCCGGTCAGAAACAGGTTCGTCGTCTCGATATGTGAGCGAAATGCGACACGCTGTATGCCGTAGACAAGGAATGAACCGTTTTCGAGCTCGATGTTGGATCTCTTCGATATGGCAAAGCTACGGCGCACCAAAGCCGCTGCACTAGGAATGTACTCAAGGGAGCGTTTCGCAACCTGGACGGAGGCGGTGGCGAGATGGTCGAAGATGCGAGCGGGTGTGCCGCCTGTTGCGCGCTGATACCAAGTGAAGATATTTTGCATCCAGCCCATACGGATGATGCCCATAGACCACTGAAAGTTCTGAGTCCAGGAGTCGACGATGGGAGGCATGGTGATGCCTGTGAGGCCGATGATGGCTTGAGCTTGGAAGTAAGTGAACAGAGAGAGGGTGTTGGCAGCGAGATGGGCGGCTGCATTGCCATAGCCAGCTAGCGAGATAAAGGCTGACGAGACGAGGCCGATTCCTATGATGATGGCAGTGACCCATTTCACCGATAGCTGTTCAACCGTCTTTCCCGTTCCAAAGTTTGCCTCGACACATGCAACGGACTCCCCCGTCGATGTCATATTGATATATGCACGCACAGTAGCATCCAGGTCCGGAATACCGTAAGCAATGTCAGGAACCTGATCCAAGGCATCTCCAAGACCGAAATTGAACACAAGATCGAGATCACCAGGTGCCATGGGGCACAGAGATGGAATGTCGAAGCCCATGTTGCAGGGATCAACTACTTGATGAATGAACTCATGGCCGTAGACGTCAAGGGTGACATCGAAGAGAACATAGCCCTGAACAGAGGCTACTCCATTGACGTTGATGGTTACTATTGAGTTGTTTGGTGTGATGACGATGTGAAAGAGAGTAGCGGTTAGCTGAGAGCCCTGTTGACAGCTTACGAGGGCG